ACACAATCCTCTCATCCACTTAAAATTATTTCCTTTGGAGCAATTAATAATAATAGATAGATAACTGTTAAATGATTATTTCTACACTAACATTGTTCCAAACATGCCTTTTAAGTATTTTTATTCAGCCCAAAGAGTTACATACATTCCAAGAGCTATTTATATTCCTGAAGCAATAATATAAATACAAATTCAACTGCTACAAGGTTAAGGGATTGTGTATCTCAAAAACCATAATATTATTAAAGACTTCAAGGTTTTTGTCATGATTTCTACAAAACACCAGCACATTTCCTCAAGCCACTGCAGAAGAGCTACTAAGAAGCTTGTGCTGGAGAAGCAGGATTAAGACCAATGATGAAACTGAGCAACATTTTCCTACCTGGTGTCACAACAGCCTGGAATCTCAGAGTTTACTCTCAGGCAGACTAACAGTACAGCTCTTGCAGGAAACCCTCCAAGCAGGGCTATAAGCAGAGGACTGCTTTATAGACTGTGCCTTGTTTCTGTTAACCAGCACACTACTGGGGAGTGACCCCACCCCTCCTCAGGTGGGATCCATCAGGAGGATGAAGATGAACGGCAGAGTCTGAGCAGCTCATGAGGCTCTTGTTAGCTCATTAGGAAGGGAGGAGGCAGGGGGCTAGGTCAGTGCACTGAATGATGTGAAACTTGAGTGAAAAGAAGATGCACAGTGTTTCTCTGTATCTGTAAGGTGCAAGTTAAGCAGGCTGCTGGTACCATCCTTGGTCAGAGAAAAAAGAACATGGTGCTCAGGTTGCTTGAGTTTAGGGAATGAAAGCACATAGAATTCCTCAACATTTGCAGGAGAGAGGAAAATGCTTGAGGATCCTGAGTTACTGAGAGCTCCAGTAACCATTCAAGGCTGAGCAGCAGCAGGATTTGCCCCCTCCCTTATGAGGAAAGACTGAGGGAGCTGGGTCTCTATAGTTTGGAGAAGAGGAGATTAAGGGGTGACCTTATTAGTGTATATAAATATATAAAGGGGGAGTGTCACGGGATGGAGCCCTTCAGTGGCAAACAATGAAGGACAGGGGAATGGGTACAAGGACACAAGAGGTTACTTAAACTGAGAAGAAACTTCTCAGTGAGGGTGAGGAACTGGAACAGGCTGCCCAGGGGGTTGTGGATCTCCTTCTTTGGAGACATTCAAACCCGCCTGGACACGTTCCTGTGTAACCTTATCTAGGTGTTCTGTCGGCAGGGGGATTGGACTAGATGATCTTTTGAGGTCCCGTCCAATCTCTAACATACTGTGATACTGTGATACTGTGATACTTACTTGGTTCATTTTTTTTCTGCTCAAGCCTCCTCTCCAAGTGTTTTTATGTACAAGTGACTGACTCCACATCAGGAAAAGTGCAACAGGAGTAGAAAAAGATATGGTTCCAAACTGAGATTCTTCTTCTTTCTCAAATTCTTACACACACATTTCCATGATAAAGTAAAATTTATCATTTCCTCCCAGTGCCTAAAGTGGCCAACAAGAAACCTGGAAAGGGTTTTTTGACAAGGGCCTGTAGTGATAGGACAGAGGGGAGACTGAGCTGAGCTCTTAGGCAGAAGCTCTTCCCTGTGAGGGTGCTGAGGCGCTGGCACAGGGTGCCCAGAGAAGCTGTGGCTGCCCCATCCCTGGCAGTGCTCAAGGCCAGGTTGGACACAGGGGCTTGGAGCAAGCTGCTCCAGTGGAAGGGGTCCCTGCCCGTGGCAGGGGTTGGAGCTGGGTGAGCTTTAAGCTCCCTTCCAACACAAACCCTTCCAGGATTCTATGATAATCTTCTCAGGCATTCTCCTCTAAATTCCCACGCCAATCCTTCCAAAAGGGGTCTGCACTGTCACTATAAAAGCACAGTCATTCCATCTCCCGAAAGCAGCAGGTCAGCTAAAGTGTTGCTATCTGAAAGCTGGTAAACTCCACTGAGCTGCTTTTCTAAGGAAAAAGAAAAAAAAAAAAGGAAACCCAATAATATTGTAATGAAATGATGGCAATTGCTGCAGTTTGTCTTCAATGTGCATTTCCCCCAGGCACATCCTGCCTGGATTAGATTCTTTGTCTATAATATGTTGCTCTTACAGAGTCTGTTACTACATATGGAAAAAAATCCAGCCCTCACTGTTTAATATCCTTGAAGAATCATGTTCTTGGGGGCAAAACAATGCTTAAACGCTTCATCCAGAAATGTAAACAGCTGAGCTCTTATCCTGTTACTTCAATGACACAGTGAGAACTTCATTAAGGACCCAATTTTTCAACCTTTACACATTTTTATGCTTCTTGTTTCTCTTACTAAATACCTGGCAAGTTGTTTCACCCAAAATTTAAAGAGATGTGCATGAAAGAAGAGGAGCAGCACATTAACAAAACATGCTCTGCTATCTTCACAGCACTCATAGACACTGTGCTGGGCCATGCTCTTGGGTTTCCTGCTGACTGGGATGTGTAGGCAAATATATATTGTAAACGTTTGTATTCCTTAATGACAAACTCAGAAAGCTCATGTTATCACAGGCAGGCTCCATAATCTGTTCCCTTATGTTTTAAAATCACTTTCCATTGGAACTTAAGGGCAAGAATGTTAATTCAGCTGCACTAAACATCAGATCACTTAGCACTTCTAATAGGCTTTATTCCTGTGTCTAAAACCAGTTAAACAGAGACCTACAGCATACACAGTGCATCCTTCCTCTTCTGTTTAGTAACATAGTGAATAACAATATGGAGCGGCAGCCATAAGCTCGTGTTTTAAATGAACTCAATCTCTGTTTGTTTTACCTTCTACTGTTAGTAGTAGTAGACACCAACATCAAACAATTATAAATGGGAAAGCAGAAAATAAAACTCTACTCTCCCCATGACTTTCCTTCACATGTTTTGCAGAACTCTGCATATGAAGAGTTACCAATGCCCTCCTATAGCTAAGGTGGGCTGGTATTTGTATAGATAGTTGGTATTCTCTAACAAGAATAAAGGAGAGAAAAACACTGAAAGATAAGGAAATCTCATTGTAAAGCCATAAAACTGGCTCTGAGCATATTTTTAGTGACCTGGAGGTATTCTCAAATTACTTCAAAAGACTTCTTGTATTTCCAGTTGATTACATCTGTTCACAACGGTGCAGTGGTAACAGTACAGAACACCTGCCTCCGTGCAGTAATTTTTCTTTAAGGAGGAAAAACCACAAGCAAGAATAGACTTGGAATTGAATTGTAAAAGCTGAACAAACTACTTTTGTCCCCTGGGAAATGAATTAAAGCATTTTAAGCTACAAGAGTGTGTCACTGCTTACACTAGTGCAAAGAAGATGGACTGCAGTAGTTCCCAGACTATTGCAATTGTCACTTCTACTATGTTTGCCAGACATGTTCCTAAAATCTCCTTACTTGATCTAAGATATGAAGTTTTACAAAATGTATTAGATCATTTCCAGGCAGGAGGTTGAATGCAATTCAAGGACTTTTCTAGTTACTGCAACCACCATTGTATAACCTGAGAGAAGGAGTATGGGAAGTGATCCATAGTGAAGCAGTTGGAGTCATCACTTTCTGCAGGCTTTACTGGTGGAGATTTCCCTAAGATAATCAGTAAATTGATTTATACTCTTGAGCAGGTTTAGAGCCTGGGTCATTGGGAAAATCAATACCACTTTCTGGCTTGGCAACCGCTCGCCAGGCAGTTTTGTTAGAAAGGAAAACAGGTGAGTATTGAAATATATAAGTGATGAAGAGCAGCTCTGAAGTTTTTGAAACTAGGGAGAGAATACACATCGTTCTTCTTCTAATCAGATGCAAAACATAAGTAAAGTAGCACAGCTTCACTGAATTCTGACTTGTTTACTCCACTGACTCCTAAGTCAACAACTCCTGGCTTACCAGCAAGTGCTACAGCTCACAGATGTGACAGCAGTTACTCAGAGCCAGGTTGCTTGGCTCCTGCAATTAGTTTCTTAAGCACATAAAAGAACCACCCTTCTCTTAGTATGGTCTCTACATGAGAGGGGTTTTCTCAGTGCTGCTCTAGACCTGGTTCTGCTGGCTGGTACAATCAAGGTGTCTGTGTCTTGGTGCTTTGGCTTTTATTCCCCTTCTTTTTATTAGCCTGTAACTTTGGGTCTTACTGCTTAAATATATTTGTTATGCTTGTGTGTTTTCTCACAGCAGTAACGTTTTTATCTCTTGTTATAAAAGTGTCTGAGGTATTTGTATGTCTTTGCTGACCTTAAAGGACATTTATGTGGGGAACTTAAAATATTTGAGTGATGGATAGCTGTATCAAGAGGCGCTAAAATCCTCAGGAGGTATTGATAGCTCCCAGGTTACAAGTGGGCTTGGTCTACAAGCCCTAAGAAAGAGGACACTAAAAGGAAAAACAGGGGAGCTGTGGTAGCGTAGTGTTTGTGAGGTTGTTTGGGGTCGTTTTCTGTGGGATTGTAAGAGGTTTTTTTGAGGGGTGGTCTCTGGTCACCTGTATCTATAGGAAATACACAGGCTGGGACAGGGTACTGGAAAGAATGTGCTTTCTCCTGGAAGCAGTTACCGTGTGTTCATGCAGGTGTGTGTAAGCTGTGGAACAGAGGAGCTGGGGCTGCCCCATCCCCGGCAGTGCTCAAGGCCAGGTTGGACGAAGCCTTGGGTGAGATGGTTTAGTGTGAGGTGTCCCTGCCCATGGCAGGGGGGGTGGAACTGGATGATTTTAAGGTCCTTTACAACCCCAACTATTCTATGATTCTATGCTTTAGTAGCTCTGCAGCTCCCAACACACGTTACATCTCTGCTCGCCGATGAAAGCTATCGGAACACCTCACTACCTCCGCTCTTCCCCCTCAGGCGGATGCATTCTGCGTCACGCCAGGGTCACGTGTCCGCCTCCTCGCCCAATCCGCACCCTCGCACCCAATTCAAACCGCGGGGCGGCCGTGGCCGTTGGCCTGATGCGCGGAGGGGGAAGGGGCAGCGCGGCAGCGGGACCCGCCCGCCCCGCCCGCCGCGGGCCGCAGGGGACACGCTGACCGCCATGGAGAGCCGGCCCGCGGCCCCGGGGCCCTACCGAGCCACCAAGCTGGTGAGGACGGCGGGGCGGGGCAGGCCGGCGGTGTTCGGGGCGGGTTGGTGGGATGGGAATGGGGATGGGGGGAGGTCGGTGGCTGCTGTGGTGCCCGGGGCTCTCAGGGTAAAGCACAAATTACCATTAGCCGTTCCGGAGACCAGTCGGGCAAGTGGGTTCCGGCCTTCCCGGCCCACCCGGCTGTGTGGGCCCTGCCACCCTCCCCAGAGAGGGCTGTGTAGCTGCCAGTGCCTTGCTCGCTGAAAGCTCGGTGACAGCTAAGGAAGGAGCTTGTCAATTGAAGCATGTCGTCTAGTTTTGTGTGAGAAAAGAGTTTAAAACTGGACTTTTTGTGCCCTGCCAGCTGGATTCACCCCCTGCCTGACGGCTGCGGTGGTTTGACAGTGCCTCAGGAGCCCGAGCTGGTGTACATGCTGGGCATGAGCAGACACAGTCAATACAACTCCTTACGTTTGTGAAACTATAACCTTATTCTCAGATAAGAACAAGATAAAAACGTAAATGAAATGCTTATGTATTTTTTTAATCTGAACTTTGTTTCTATAATGCTACCTCTACATTAAGTAGGTAGAGGGAGGGGATCCTGCCCCTCTGCTGTGCAATGGGGAGACCCCCCCTGCAGCCCTGACCCAGCCCTGGGGCAGCAGCACAAGAGGGATGTGGAGCTGTTGGAGCGAGTGCAGAGGAGGCCATGGAGATGCTGCGAGGGCTGGAGCAGCTCTGCTCTGGAGCCAGGCTGAGAGAGCTGGGCTGGGGCAGCCTGGAGAAGAGAAGGCTCCTGAAGGGGAGACCTGAGAGCAGCTCCAGTGCCTAAAGGGGCTGCAGGAAAGCTGGAGAGGGGCTTGGGACAGGCCAAGGGGAATGGCTTGAACCTGCCCGAGGGGAGACTGAGCTGAGCTCTTAGGCAGAAGCTCTTCCCTGTGAGGGTGCTGAGGCGTTGGCACAGGGTGCCCAGAGAAGCTGTGGCTGCCCCATCCCTGGCAGTGTTCAAGGCCAGGTTGGACACAGGGGCTTGGAGCAAGCTGCTCCAGTGGAAGGGGTCCCTGCCCATGTCAGGGGGGTGTGACTGAATGAGCTTTAAGGTCCCAACCCAAGTCATTCTATGATTACTTAGGATAGCCATCAATATTTTAGTATTAAAGTTGTGATTTTGTTTATACGCTTATTAATGTAATACTGCTTTAGTTGATACTTACAATGATCTGTTTCAGGTTTTGATCTTGCATTCTTTCCTTGTTTGTTCCTCATGCAGTGGAATGAAATTACAAAGTATTTCCGAGCAGGCATGCCACTAAGGAAGCACAGGCAGCATTTCAGGAGACACGGAAGCTGTTTCACTGCATCAGAAGCTGTTGACTGGCTCCATGAAGTGCTAAGGAATAACAGTAACTTTGGTCCTGAAGTTACTAGGCAGCAGACTATTCAGTTATTGAGAAAGTTTCTCAAGAATCATGTAATTGAAGATATAAAAGGGAGATGGGGATCTGAAAGCTTAGAAGATAACAGTGCACTATACAGGTACTGAAGTAAAGACCAGTTAACAGAGCTCTTCATGTTGAGAATTTTATTTCAAAGTCATTGTGTTCAGATTCACAAAGGTATCTTGCTTTGAGTTGAGCAGTTCAGCCACAGCTTAATCACTAGCACCATTTCCACTCACTGTTTATTTTACTCTGATTTGCAGCACAACTCATACATCCTGTGTGCTGAGGGCTGTTTACATGCCTTTGTCTAGACGGGTTTTTCACTGGGAGGCATGCATGCTGCACTCAAGTGCTTTGTAGGGGAGCCAAAGAGAGCATACTGTAGTAGCTCCATGCTGTGCTACCATTCCTGTGTTTACTCCTCTTGTACATTTTACAGAAAATGAAGGGGGAAACAGCCTATCTTAAGTTTTGAAGTTAAAGGTATTAATGGCCCTCACTTCTCAAATTCCAATCTCAGTACTGTATAAATATCTAAGTATCTTCAGCTTGACTTGAAATCAACAAAAGTAGCCCAAAGCTAATTTATAGTATAATGCTAAACAGTGTTCTGAAAAACACTGTTAATTTCCTGGATCTCTTCAGAATCCTATGGAATCACACTAATATGGAATTAGGGTATGGCTTTGGTTAAGTGACTGCTAATGTTTCTAATCTAGTCTAAATATACTTAACATCTTTTCTGTTCATTACAGATTTCCTTCAACATCTCCAGTTAAACCTCTACCAAGTCCATGTACACAGAAAGAGAACTTGGAAAACTTCTGTAGAGACAAAGAAAGACTTTTTAAACTGCCATATTTATCCAGGAGAGCTTTGAAAAGACATGAGTTACTACAGTCTCTGGTAATAACTTGTTTCTTACATGTTTATAGTTGCTGTGTATTTTCTTTGTTCTTTAACAAATAAAACTGGAAGCAGTCACCTCTTTGTGACACTGTTCTGTTGTGTCATCTTCTCGCTGAAGAAATAAATTGGTAGGTTCTTTTAGACAGTGAAGTAGGACATTTATATATAACCATGATGGAAAAGTACAGCTATATTTTATAGCAAAGTGTCTTGGTGATGTGTGCTGTTTCTCTTCAGTGTGCAGAAAGAGGTTTTATTAAAAAACCTGTAAATATTCGAACAAAATACGTACTTGTAAAATCATGGCTGTGGCTGTGACGTGGCATTTTTGAAATGCTGGCAGCAAGTGACAGGGATTGTGCAATTGACCCTGAAAACTATATGAAGTTGTTTCTTCTAAGCTTATTGGCAGTAGTCTATTGGGAAGAGACATGGGGGGGTAGGTTGTAATTAATGCAGCCACCTTACTTAGAATGAAAGGTCATCTCACACCCACAAACACCCCTATTGCAGTATGGGGCTTCTTTTATGATCTGAGATTATGTAGAGTTTTGGCTCATCAGTATGGAGCCATTTGTTTTCTTTTGAATTGTTTGGTTTGTTTTGTTTCCTTCAGTGTAGTATTATCCCTGTTACAGTATTTTAAAATATTGGGAGGGCTGGACAGTGGACTTGTGGAAATGATCTGGACAATATGTCCTTGTTGAAACTTAATATATTTTTTGTTTGTTGACAAGGCACAAATAATTTAACTCTTCCACTTCGTGAAAAAGATTGAATACAAGTGCTTGGTCCTTTATTTTTTTGTGCATGCTTTGTGAATTGAGGTTGAATGTAGGTTCCTAAAGAAGAATACTTCACTTACTGACACATTTGGATTTGATGTGTTTCAACGTTTTCAGTTACTGACTTCTGAGCTGATCAGGTCTTTCTTTATAGTGTCCTCTTTTGCTTGTTGGGCATGCTTACATTGCAGTGCAGGGACTGGTAAGATTACAGGAATTCAATGTTCTGCAGAATGCCCTATACTTCTGAGACTAATTTTTACTTAGTTTTGAATTATCTTAAGAAGCTTCCTTATCTTATGGTAAAAACTACTCATTTTCAGGAAAATTTAGAGAAAACAAAGAGTGATAGAATAGAAGAAAACGAGGAAGATATGCTGAATAGGAAGGAAATAAGCCAGGAATATGTGAAAGAAACTTGGAGAAATGTCATTCTAATACAGTGAGTAGCACATTACAAAAAGCACCTTCTTGGGTATGTGGTTTGTGTGTAATAACCTGATCAAGCTCTTGGCTTGCAAACTTTTCTTGAATCTTTAAAACTGTGTTTTAACTTGAATATTTTTACTATTCTTTACAGATGCCTTCCAATGTATTTATTAACATTGGATTGTTGCATTTAAGAAATTCGTTGAAATTTTATTATTGCTGCTGTTGAATATATTTTATGTACCATAGAGGCTCTTTCCCAGTAATTTTTGGTGTTTGTTTCAGGGAAAAGTGTGTCCTCAAGTTGTCCTTCTAAAAGTGCGAGCGTATTAAATAGCAAACTGTTGTTTGAGTAGACAAGGGAAGAACTTGTTGTCTAAGAGGTTTGCAAGTAATGAATGAAAATATCTGCTCTCTTACTGCCCACAGTTTGCAAACAATTTTAGGGCTCCCATCTCTGGAAGAAGTTCTTCAGCCAACGCAGATCATTCCTGAGTACGTCATATACAACATGACTAACACGAGCAAACATGGTGTTGTGATTTTGCAGAACAAATCAGGTACAATTTCTTTTCCCTGGTTTTGCTTAAAGGTTCCATGTGGCCTAATTACAGCAAACAATAATTAATGTAATATGTTTCATCATTTTTTACATTTTTCCCCAAGCTACTTTACAGTTCAGTATAATTGTCAAGAAGGTTTTGTAGCTTTATTGCATTCACTTTTAAATTACACATGAAGCAATATTTAAAATTAGTTCCCAATTTCATCTTCTGTATTTGAGGTATTAATACATGTGTGCCATTTTTTATATTGGTTATTAAGTCTTTGAGGTTGTGTATAAATAATGTGTTTGTGTGCTTATTTTAGAAGACCTCCCACACTGGGTATTGTCAGCTATGAAGTGCCTCGCATACTGTAAGTTATTAAATACCTTTTAACCTCTTTTGAGAGTTGAAAGTGAAATATACTTGCAAGTTGAGACCAGTTGTGATGTTTCATTTGGAAATTCACATAATCAAAGTGCCTTGATATGCTGAGAAGCAATGACAGCAATCCATAGCAAATCATTGCACAGAAATGTAACCTAAAGGAGCTAATAATACATGTTAAAGATGTCACATTTTAGGTAATTGAGGTATCAGACCTCTAGTCTAGCTACTAATTCTGCTTTTAGGCTGCATCATCTGCATATGACTTTCAGCAGTGTAAATGGATTATAAATTAGTGGAAGAAGAGTGGCTTCAGTGTTCTTTAATCCAAGAAACATGCAAGAGAATTAATTACCTCTGCAGTCTTTCAGTGGAATTGTCCTGTCCAAGGCCATGGAAAATCTAAGGACTGTTTGTAACAGAAATAATTCCTATTAACAAAGTCAGGCAGGGAGAAAACTAGTGCTTGGGCAAAACCTGTTTGTGGTTTCTTCTGATGCAGTTTTCCAGGAGTAAAGGGGCTTTCCTTTTCCAGTTACTGCCTTTGAGCTAGCCTGAAACAGTTCCTACATTTCATATTAAACTGGGGAGACCAATTCACAGAAAACCTGTTGGGTTTTCATTTGTGTTAGAAGAAAGCAAACAAAATTTTGCAAAGGGTTTGATGAGATAGATTTTTAAAGTCTGACATTTTATCTGTGAAACATGTTTTGTGACAACTGAACTTCCATTGTCTGCAGACCAAGAGTCACTCATCCCTTGTTTTGGTATTAATGTAAGAAGTATCAAGCAACAAAACTGGACATGGTTACAACTTAGAAAAGCTTGGTGCTTCTGGTTTGTTTTCTTTGTGTATTTGCTTAAGAGTAAAATTGAGAAAGGCACAATGTTAAATCTTAAACTTCAGGAAAGAAAAATCAGTTACCAAAGGCATCAGCGTTATGTGTACTTGAGCAACTGCCTTGGAGCTACTGGGAAAGTATTGGCTGTGGAGTAATAGAATTAGCAAAGGTTTTCACAAGTTGAGGAGGGAAAAATACTTTCACAGAGAACCTGATCAAGGTCAGTTTCTAATGGCTCAGTCTGATGTGGATTCTCTTGCTAATAAAGGTGTGGGTTTCATAGAATCATAAAATAGTTTTAAACAAGTGCTGCAGCAGGCCTGTGTGGTACTAAGTCTTTCTCCTTTACAGTACCATTAATTTTTATGAAACTTTGAAGAATCTAATGGTCTTTGAAGTTTCTTTTGTCAGATGTTTGAAATTGCTACAATCACATACAGATCGCTATTCTGTAAGATTTGTCTCTCTGTGAAGCGGATTCTGAAAAGATTCTGGAGAAGAGAGGACAATTACTTCTTGCCCCCAGAAAACTGCCTCTTTAAATATCTAACACTTAGATGAGTACCTCTCAAATGAAATCAGAGATGAGTTTTTAATCTGTGTGCTTGTCCTGCTGTTTAACTCTTGTCCCTCTTCCTGGCAGTCTCCTTCACTAGCTTCCTGCAAAGCTATACCATAGTTAGATGGCATGTGTTTTATACATCTGTGTGTATGTCTGGCTGCTCAGTGGAACTGTGGTGGGGTCCGTGCAGGGTTAGTGTGTCTTCACAAGTTCTGTTTGCAGCATGCACTCTTGTGAAAATAACCCCTTTGGTTCTTACTCAACATCTCCCTTTCCTTCAACTGCATTCCCCCCAAAATAGAGCCTCTTACATGAAGAGCGCTAGTAGGAAAAGCAGGACAGGGAAGAGCTTGGTGAGTTGATTTAAATCAGAGTGAAATATACAGCTGAGCACTGGTCTCTGAGCTTTTCAACACCTTAATCCCAACATCAGTTCTGTACTTGGAACTAACAAATAGGTCTTTGTGGGTTGGAAACAGCAAGCAAGCTTCCTGGGTTTTTGAATTCTCCATTTCTAATTTGAGTGAATTAGTTCAAGCAGAGACTTTATCTCTGCAGATGCCAGCTATACCGTAACCAAATGACTTAAGGCAATAGTTACTTTGCACAGTGAAAACCAAGTGTTTATACTGTAGGGGGAATACTGCTTTCCTATATTTTTAGTATATGGTAATATGATTATGATTATAAAGACTGATTGTATCGAAAGTTAAATCTTCTCTGGTTCTATGTGTAACTTAAACAGCCAGCTCCTAATTCATTAAAACTGTCTTTGTAAGGCAGCTGGTTTCATTTGTAGGAGCTCAGTGGAGTATAATAAGGGCTAACAGTTTTATGCCATGTCAAGTTTTATTCCTGCCTGAAACACTTTTGTTTGTTCCTTTCCTGTCTGTAGCCATGCAGACAAGGTTTAGCAACTAGATCTCTTGGGTTGCTCATCTGTCCCTGCCTATGGCAAGGGGTTGGAACTGGATGAGCTTTAAGGTTTCTTCTGACCCAAACTGTTTGGAAATGAAGGAAAGTACTTAGAGTTCATTACTGTTTTGCTGAGGAGCCTATAAAGGATATAAATGAGTTTTCATTTATTTTCTTGGTGTAGAACAGCTTGTTGAAACTGAGCACAACTGTTCAGTGGCTACATGGAATCTTTTACACTATTTTTGCTTACAAATGATACAGTACTCAACTAAAAAATTTTCATATTGCTGGTATGATTCTTTCCTTCCTACAGGAGTAAACTTATATTCTTTTTCCTTTTTTTAAACTGATTTTATAATGAATTTGTGAAAAGTTGTTTGTGATTTTTCTTTCTTTACCTCTATTTAGGGCCTAGAAATAATGACATGAGCCAAGCAACTTACAGTGGGTTTGAGCGCGATGTGTTCCGAACGGTTGCTGATTACTTTCTCAGTCTCCCTGAGCCATTACTTACTTTTGAGTACTATGAACTTTTTGTTAATATTTTAGGTATGTATGAATTGTGAAACACTCAATGCAAGCTGTAAGTTTATATCAACTGGGGAATAAATCTGTACCTCAAAATCTGTATGGCAGCTTGAATCTGAGGAAGATCGTCAATGATATCATTCTGTATTACAGTATTAATTGACATACAGTTCTGTCTCATCATTCTCTACGTAAATTGCTGTCTGAGCTAACATTCTAAATATGCAGTAACCATAATCTAAAGAATACATGCTCGTTCTGTCTGTCCCTCACTATTGCAGTGTGTTAACTATCTGTCTTCTTGCATGGTGGTTCTTAGATCACTTTTGGACTGAGCTAAGTTCTTCTTAGGTTTTACTAACAGAATCATCTATAAATGCATATCTTATATTTGTTGTTCTCTCTGCTCAGTCAGCATCTTTCTGTCTAAACTTGTTCATTTTTCATACCACTTGCATCTTAACTGATATTTCATTTTCTGATAGTTATGTGTGGCTACACCACAATTCCAGATACATGCAGTGGAAAACATTCTGTCCAAGATGAGAAGTGTGACTCTCAGCCTTCAAAAACTCTTCACTTGAACTCTTTCAAGTCAACTGAGTGTCTTCTCCTAAGCCTCCTTCGCAAAGAGCCTGACAAAAAAAAGAAAGAATGTGAAGTTTCCATGAAGTGTTCTTCAGCAGATCTAACTATTCAAACCCAGTGTGCAAATAAACTGTGGCAGCATAAACAGACACATAAACAAGGTAGTTCTGCTAATCTAATAGGAGGAAGCTGTCAAAATCTTTCAGCTTTCAGGACTGAACAAGGTCCACGTCAAACATTTAGGACAAGATGTTACTCTTTGGAAAGAATTGGAGATGCTACTTCAAGCGCATGTAATAAAGTAGGATCTGATTCCCTCAGGCAAAGTGATGTGAACACCATCCTGGGCACAAGAAATGGAAAAAAGTCACTACCTTATGAGCATAAGGCTAATTCTGTGTTGGAGCTTGGTTTTGATAACACAGGTCAAGACCAAATCCATGGTATCAAAAGAGTGTCTGCATCAGCTCTTCAGGACAAAGAGCTATTTGTTGAAGATCATGGACTGAAGAAAATCCATGGGTCTCTGAGTTTACTTGGCAAAAGGAACTCCAGAAGTTGTGCTAGGATTAATATGCCAGTTGCTGAAATCACAGTGAAACCAAGTTCTCCACTTTGTGGGCAAGGAAAACCAAATACCTGTGGTGTGGCTACTTCAGTGGACATCAGGACTGAGGTTTCTGATACCACCATCAAAAAGAGACTCTGCAAAAGTACCACAGAACTCTCAGAATGCTCTTTCACTCACTCTTCTTTTATGTTGACTGGCACGCAAAGTAAGATGGCTTTCTAAAGCATGTTGTATTGGCTTATTGTGTTGGCAAACTAATCTCTGCTTCCTTAATCTGGCACTGATGCTAGGGAGTTTTTGATATGTGAATAGCATGACATGTGGGGTTTAAGAAACCAAAATGATTGCTAAACTGCATTATGTAAAGGTAGCCCTTTGTACCTCTGCTAACAAATAGTAGTGGGTAGTTTCTTTGGAGTCTTAAATATTTGTTGTGTCAATAATTCAGCTTTCTTTGAGGTAAGTAATTCTGACCTACACAGTAAGAGTGTGGCAGGGAGCTTGCACAGACCTGCCTGGTGGAGGGGATGTCTTTTTGCAGTCTTTGAAACACAGTTTATCATGATGAAGCAAGTTGAAGATGACCACACACAAAAAGGCCACAGAACTATGTAGTATGTTACAGCTGGTTTCTCTGAAACACAGATTATTGTCATTGGATAATGACACTGGCACAGGGTGCCCAGAGAAGCTGTGGCTGCCCCATCTCTGGCAATGCTCAAAGCCAGGTTGGATGGACCTTGGAGCAAGCTGCTCTAATGGAAGGGGTCCCTGCCCGTGGCAGGAGGCTGGAACTGGATGTGCTTTAAGATCCTTTCAACCCAAACCAGGCTGAGATTCTATGATCTCAATTAAAAAAAAAAAAAAAAGGAAAAAAAAGGACTTTCTTGTTCCTAGATCAAAATATCCTGAAAATCAGTTCAAATCTTACTGACAGCTGTCTGTACAATTAACTTGTAGATCTCCTTCAGCCTCATTTAGAAAGAATTGCTGTGGAAGCACTGCAGATATGTTGTTTGTTGCTTCCACCACCAAACCGTAGGAAGATCCAGCTCCTCATGCGCATGATCTCTCGGATGAGTGAGAATGTGGATATGCCACGACTGCATGATGCCATGGGCACACGCACTTTGGTAAGAGACTCGTCAATGCTCTGTATCTATTGGTCTGAGAACACTGGGAGTGTTCTGTACTTGAGGTTCTTGTCGCATTGCAGTTAAATAGTGCAATTAAATTAGATAGCCTTTGCATCTCCAGAATGTTTATCAAAATCTGACTTGAAGCAAGAACTTTCTTGTCCACATCCTCATGTATTTCAAGTACTGGTGTTGCCTTTGCTGGCTTTGGGAGAAGGGAAGTAATTTCTTAAAGAAATGCAAGTAGTTGAGTCTTGACTTCTCACCCAACTGCCATTCAGCTTAAACGGTGTTGGCAAAGTGATTGTAGAAAGCCTTTCTTGGGCTAAAATTTGTGTGTGTGAAGATAGGACAAAAACAGCTCCAAAGAATTCGATTTTCTGCCTAGTGAATTTAAAGACTAACGTCAAGGTCTGTATTTAAGCTTTCAATGGAACAACTAAAGATATTTTTCTTTTTTTTTTTTGTCAAAAGCTATAAAAATGTTTTTAAAGCTATTTAAAGCAGGTCCTTGGTGTGTATTAGCTCTTGGTTAGGCTGGTTCTGCAGTGTTTCTTAACGTGTCACTTGTCTCCAGATAGCTAAGATGTACACTTTTCTGTAGGGTAAGGCTTCTATCATTACTGCTTTAAAATATGTATTTATTGAAATTACAGTTCAAAAAAAGGGCAAGTCTAATGTTTAAGAAGTTACTTTATTTGATGAGGAAAGCATTACAAGCAGTTTTCATCCTCTCTTAACCAGCAGTGTAGGCAAGAGAGATTACCCTGAAAGTTGGTATTGGAGAATGTGCTATGTAGACTGGAAAGAAGGCAAATCCTTCAACTGTATGTACTAACCATCTGCTAACCACTTGTAGATGATCCAGACCTTTTCTCGCTGCGTGCTGTGCTGTGCAGAAGAAGTAGACCTCGATGAGCTGCTCTCTACACGATTAGTTTCGTTTCTAATGGACCATCAACAAGAAATATTTAAAGTACCCACTTACCTGCAGGTTGCAGTGCGAGATCACATAGAACACGTGAAGATGGCTCAGGTTGGTGGCAGGTTCATTGGCTGATTGCAGAGTGTTTGTTACTTCTGAAGGTGGGATGGGAAAGCTGCAAATGAAATTACTGTTTTGGATGTAGACTTGTATTGAACTGTTGGTGAAGTCATAGGTACTAGCTATGTTACCATGTTTTGCAACTTGAGATGTTGCTGTAAATTATCATGTTTGGATGTTTAAGTATCTTCTTATCGAAATAGTACATAATTGAGTTTATGCAGACCCCTTCTTCAACTCTTCTTCCAGTGCAAATACCCAAAGGAAGAAATATGTGCCATATTGCCAACATATTCATATTGCAAACAAATAACTCCTCAGGAGTTTGAAGAACAAAAGGTTTCTACCTCTCAAGCTGCAGTGGCAGAGCTCTTGGAGAACATTATCAAAGATAAGAACTTGTCTGTGAAAGACAAGAAGAAAAAGTTAAAACAGGTAAGAAACTTGGTTCATATTTAATCTACTTACGGAAATGCTGTTGTGAGAGAAGGATCTCGTACCAGGTACTAGACCCTGGTACCTTCTAAGGGGTTGATCTCTTCACAGTCCTGAAACATTCCTTTCTGTGGAATTACATTTGAGTTTTGTAACATATGTCACTCAAGATTATTTGGCACTTCTGTGGCCTACTAACATATTGCCTAATCCTAAAGCTGAAATGCAGCAGTTCTGGCAGGATTTAACGCTGGAGGGGTTTTTTTCTCTTTAGGAAAACCTTTAGCAAGTATGCCTGACCAATTGAATAGTATTGTGCTTGTCCTGGAATCTCCTAAGTGAGTCTTGTGATTCAAATTGGGAAAAGCAGCTTTTCAGAGCAAGCACATTTCTTTCATGCTCCTCCCCCAGCTTCTGCAACACTGACTTTCACGTGTGACGTGAAAACCTTCTGGTTGTGGAAAAGTGAAGGCTGGGCTTGAATTCTTCAAGTTCATTAACACTTCCTGCATATGAAGAAGATTAGTTGATTACAATTGATTAAAACTTGGTGTAAGTAAGCAGTAAGAAGAGATACACAGCAACACTAGAAGCAGGTGAAGTGGGGAGGGAGGATATCTACTAAAATCCTCTAATAGTAAAACATCAAGTATGTACTTAGATATTTTTTTTTTTATGAGTTCCCTCTAAAGTCCAGAAGCAGCTTGTACTGCATGGGCAATGTGTTAGTGAGGTTTGCTTTTTAAATTCATAGAGCTGTATTGTTATAGGCTTGCCATTTGTGCTGGGATAGCTACTGGTGTAGTAAATAACAGTGTTTTGGAGCTGTTAACTCAGTTTTAATACTTGGAATTGGGGAAAGCCAAATACATGGCTGGAGGGTTAAGTCCAACTTGAATCAACACCCAAGGTTACAAATGGTGTAATTTTCCCTAGGTTGGATCCATTAGCAGTAAGCTTTGGCTGATGTATAGATATATTTACTGTTAGTCTTGTCTTCCTGAGGCCTTATATAGGAAACAGGCAGAATGTCAAAAACATGTCTGTAGCCAGATATCTCTGAGTTTTATTTCACAGAATCTCAGCCTGGTTTGTGTTGGAAGGGCCCTTAAAGTTCATTCAGTCCCAACCCCCTGCCAGGGCAGGGACCCCTTCCACTGGAGCAGCTTGCTCCAAGCCCCTGTGTCCAACCTGGCCTTGAGCACTGCCAGGGATGGGGCAGCCACAGCTTCTCTGGGCACCCTGTGCCAGCGCCTCAGCACCCTCACAGGGAAGAGCTTCTGCCTAAGAGCTCAGCTCAGTCTCCCCTCTGGCAGGTTCAAGCCCTTCCCCTTGGCCTGTCCCTACAGGCCCTTGTCCCAAGCCCCTCTCCAGCTTTCCTGCAGCCCCTTTAGGCACCGGAGCTGCTCTCAGGTCTCCCCTTCAGGAGCATTCTCTTTTCTAGGCTGACCCAGCCCAGCTCTCTCAGCCTGTCAAAGTGCTTGGGAATCAAAGGAGATGAGAAGGTTTTCTTATTTCAACAGAAGATAAGTGCCTGACAGAGCCTGACTCATTGTTTATTGGTTGTGGACTCATAAGCACAAAGGGCTACAGCTACTGTGTTCAAGTGTCACAGCCTTGCTCCTCCTGCTGATGTGCATCCTCATGAGGTGATTCATGCTCAGTCCTGCGCAGCTGGAGTTTTTAGTGCAGTCTGATTTATTTGTTGCTGTTGTGTTTCTAGTTTCAGAAGGAATACCCACTGATCTACCAGAACAGATTTCCAACTACAGAAAACGAAGCAGTGCTGCTTGAGAACAAACCCACCATCAAACAACCGATGCTCAGCTTAAGGAAACCCAGATTTCGTAGCCTAAGATATTAACTTAACCACACTTCAGCTGCATATTTATTTGTTGGGTCTCTGTGTGAATGATATATGAAAGGGCACTCACTGCAGAAATTTGGTGGTGGCTATGTGTGGAGAAGGGAGAATTGTTTACATGGACACTGTGCTGAAAGGTGCCAAATTACCTTTTTGTGTGTGTGTGCAGTTAACTTTTGAATAACTAAGAGAGAAATATTTATCTGTTTACAAATTATTACAATGTATTATGTTCAGTAAAAGAAATGTGAAAATAAGCACGAAGCTATTAGTAACCAAAAACTGATACATGGTTTCCATATGGGAAGCTGATGAGATGCATATTGTTGTAACATTTTACTGTCTGTTCAGGAATTTGTGCCATTTATCATAGGTTTTAATGTCTATGTTATGAATAAGTGCCTTCTTTTGTGTTCTCAAAATATTTGTCTTTAAACAAAACAATGTTCTTTGAAGTTGGGACTAATTTAAAAGTCAGTTCTGTTGTTTTCAATGGAGGCAATAATTCACCATAAATAAATGATTATCTGACTCCTGAAGTACTTCTGTTCATCTCATCTGTAAAATCCACATAAGCTTTTGTGTATTTATTTATATTAGAAATCTTAGGTATAGTTCTGACAATTTCATGGAAAATTTATTTTAGGTCTATTGATATTCTTCCCAAAACAACCCAAGTGATGGATGATACGGGATGTGACAAGGACTAGACTCAGAATACACTAAATTGCCCTATTTTGTTTCCACAGTTGAGGGTTTGCTTATTAATTTTGGTGGGGCCACAGCTCCCCCACAAGAGTATAAATCTACTTGAGTAATTCAGAGAGAATAAATGGGTGTCTTCATAAAGAAGATCCTGGATTAATGTTTAGACAGAGATGCTTCAGGTAAAAAAGTAGGCAGTCTTGAGCAGAGAATGCTGGTGTAGTACAACAAAAAGATGGATGAACCTTTAAAGATTCATTGGAGTGTTGTTTATATTAAAAGGATTTTCATTTGGAAAGGCAGTTTGGAGCTTGGACTCTGTCATAAGAGCTGTGGCTGTCGCTGCTTTTAGTTTGGGAACGCAGCTGGTTTGTCCTGGAATGATTTTAAGTGATGTGTATGATAAGTGTTTTATAGAATATGTCCTGCGAGTAGGAGCACTAGTGGATCTGCCTGCCACTCTGGACACACTGTCCCACCACCTTGTCATCTTGGTCTGAGGAAAATGTGCCAAAAGGGGGCCAGAAGCTGTGCTGGTAAGGGTTATAAACTGGGGACATCAATTGGTAAGTGCAGCTGAACTGCCTGAATTAACTTGATAATAAGGCAGCTAAAGGGCCTTGGAGAAAATATTGAACAATGTAAAATGGAGTTTTCTTGTTAATATCCGGAGGCTGTAGCATATTCCAAAGTAGGGAACAATGTACTTCTGCTTTGTGTAAGTGGTGGTTGTGCTCAGCTTTGTTAGATGTGTGTGATTTGGGGCTTTGAACATTCACTGTTCATGTACTGCTCTCCTTGAGCTTCTCAGATGGGTCTAATCACTTGTGAAGCCATAGCCCGAGCTGTGACCTCTCCCTAGGCTGATATTCAGGTGCACCCCTTGCTGTTTAACACTTCCATGCTGCTCTTCAGTTAAAGGTTTCTTTAAGATCATACCATGAGAATCAATAATGTGCCATACACTGAAGCAGTGTCTGAATTGGGGTTTGTTGTGAGGAATTCGTGTCGGTGTTACATTTCAGTTGTAATATTGCTTCTAGATAAGTCTAAACTATCTGCTTAATTTGGCTCTAGTTGCAGAAAAATGGAAGGGATGCAGTGTGAACACTGGACTGCAGAAGAAGGTATGTTTGAATTCCAACTTTGGTTTTACTTTAGGATTTGGCTTTTCTTTTTATTAAGTAGTTCTGTGCTTTATAGAATTAGGTATTTTAGAGGCATGCATGCTGTGTGTGAGCCATTTTGTTGTCTGTTACCTTTTTAGTTATCCTGCACAGTTCTGAGCTATGCAGTGTTGGCATGTCCTTTATGCTTTGTCTTACCCATTCCTAGGACAAGAAACTCAACTGTGGTTGTGCCTGCACATGCAAACTCTTACAATAACTTAATCTTACCAGTCATGAACTGGTAGAGAGAATTAAATTTAAAGCAAATCTCAATTTCTCATTTCTTTACCTGGCTTGGGTTTGTTTGGGGGTTTTAGCATCTCATGGGGCGGCGATATGATGGAGGGTCTTGGTTGAGGATTGTCACTTTATATGGGACATCTTGGCATGTAAGTGCTGCAGTCTGTAGCCATGCTTCAGTTCTCTTGGGTTCTCCTCTCCATTCTGATACTTAACTGTACATTTGCAATTATATATGTACCAAACCAGTCTTCAGGTAGCTTTGCAGGGGTAGAGGGTTACTGCAGAAATTCTGCCAAGTGGGCTGTGTCTAGCACAATACCTACTTTGCAGTACATGATTTTGCTCCTTCCCTTAAGAGGAGGAAGGCTTTGTAAGTGAGAAACCAAGATTAGCCCAGGTTTAGCCTGTATTAGCAATGCTTTGATGTCCTGTAGATAACTTTACCCTCACATAGCAGGTGGCAGATGCTCCTTCTCTAGCTCATGTAGTCAGCTCATCTTAAAAACCCTGCCTAAGCTTCCTTCTAGTTATTCTCAACCTGTCAAGTGTTGTGTAAATGCTTTATTTATGTGTTCCAGTTAAGCAACTTATTAGGCGAGAAGCTCACATTTCTTGGGATTTAGTTTTCAAAGGGCTGCCCTCATTATTCAGAGTCCTTGATCCATGTTATTTAATGTTCCCTTCTGAGGCTTTGGCAGTACCTTACAAAAATGTGAATAAATAGATAAATTGACTGGGTGTGGGATAATTAAAACTTCCAACTGAGTGACAGATACAAATTTAATCTAAACCTTTCTTTGAGCTATCATTTATTTATCTTGAGTGAAATATTTTACTGGAAGCCTTTTGAAGGGTTAATGGGAGGCCTCAGTCAAAGAGCTGCTGAAGGCTCAACTTGGGATCTTGTTTTGCAGTTAGAAGCCTTAAATGAACCTTCAGTCTAAAAGAAAACACTTTATCTTGTAAAAAGCAAACAAAAACCACACAGAAAGCAGCCAGCCTTTGAGCTGATGGTTGTTGTAACAGATTGAACACAGTGGCTGTTTAATGTCCAGTCTTCTTTCACCACAGGTTTGGTTACTGCAGCCTAGCTTCTGTTTGTGCAGGAGGAGCACTGAAGGCATGTTGTATTATAAAATGTCTTCATCCTGCATAACGGCTACCCAGGAAAGTGGTAATCATTCTAATCCTGTTAATCTCTAAAATTACTCTTTAGAGCACTGTTGCTTTCATACATGTCTGCTCTTACTACAGGTGATTTCTTAAGGTGATATTTGTGTCATCTCCAGCAGTGGCTGCTGCGCTGCGTGTAAAACAAACAGTGATAGGGTTTGATGGCCTTCTGAGTGTGTAGGGCTGTTAACACCCTGTGTAACAACACCACTTTATGTGCACCAAGTCTTAAGGAATCTGCCTTACACAGCAACTCGAGCTGCTGGTAATGCTACTGTACTGAAGCACTGAATAGAATAAGGGAGAGGGGAAATGATGCTGTGCAGTGGCAGTAAGAGCAGCATTGAGGGGGATGATGACTCCAGCACCCTCCTCCCTTCTCTGTATTGAGTTTCTTTTTCTTTGTAATCACTTCTGCTTGGGAAGAATTTCAGTCTCAGTAAAACATTCAAAGCCCTTTTTTGTGCCAGTGGCAAGACAAAACCTCTCAAAGCCCAGGAGGATTTTGGTGATGAAAGCCTGCTCTGTTCCCGGGCTTTCTCATTGGCAGGGGTGGTTCTGGGCACAGGGCTGCCCTCAGCAGGGCTCAGTCCCATAAATACCCAGTGCACAGCTCTCATTGTGAGCTTGGCTGCTGGAGGCTCAGGCCCTTCATCAGGAAGGAAATGTACAGTCAGTGAGTATTCCTGCGGGCTTCTCTCTAGGAGCAGGTCACTGATTGCCACCATGGCTCATTGGCTTGGGGTTGGCTTGCGGCTCTGGGTCAGCACAGCCCAGGGAAGAGGAGGAGGGGAATTCTTAGTAGGTGTCTGTGCTATGGCACCCTATGATGAGGCTGTCTGGGGGGACAGGTTCAGCAACAGGTACTGGAGAACAGTCTGTATTTTGGGGAACAGTCTGTATTTTGGAGTACATCAGCCCGTGTCTGGTGTGTCTCCACGGGTTTTGCAGCAGATAAAATTGGAACCTAATGAATAATTCTCAGCTGCTCACTCAACTATAATTTACTTAAAAAGAAAGGCAAAAAGAGGAAAACAAATGCTTCTCCAAGAACTGTGACATTCAAGTTGGATTTTGCTTCTGCCTAACAGCTCATCTCAATCTTCTCTCTCCAGGTTAAAGCCATTCCCCCTTCTCCTGTCCCTGCATCCCTTTTCCAAAGCCCCTCTCCAGGTTTCTTGTAGCCCCTTTAAGCACTGGAGCTGCCCTAAGGTCTCCCTTGAGCCTTCTCCAGGGTGACCAATATATTCTGATACCCTGAATTTATCCCCTGAAGGTGTGAAGGTGTTTGCTTGCCCTTCTCCTCCATGTGCTCAGGACGGTTCTCAAGTGGCTGCAGAGTGATAGTCCCTGCGCCTTTCACCCCCTGAAGGCTGGTGCTTCTCCCTTCTGATCTCTCAAGTTATTTGCACATCACAGGTCACTCCATCCAGAAACAAACCCCACCCCCAAAGCCAGGCTAACCCCAACTCTCCTGGCCCTTTCAGAGTCGAACATCCCGCTGGAGGCTACAAGAAGCTCTTTGAGACAGCGGAGGAGCTGTCCTCTCCAGTGACTGCCCATGTCACAGGTTGGTGACAGGAAACAGTTGATCTCTTCTTGCCCAGGTTTTGTGCTTGGGAGATCATAGCCCAACAGAGCTTGGGGCCCTTACAAGGGCTGGAGCATCCTTTTGGACATAAAGGACCCAATAGGACTAGTGTGTTTTGGGGTAGAGGAGGGACAGTTGGATGGGGGATCTTCAGATATTTCAATAGCGAATGTCTTGGTCTGCAGTAGGTGTGTAGGTGAAGAAAACAGGATAGTTTGAGGAGTTCATGCATGTTGAAGAAGCAAGTGTAATAAACATTAAAATGAGGTTTGTTCTTTTTGTTGACATAATGAAAACATCTTGGTCTGATCCGCCATGGGTTGTGCGTGTACCAACACTACATCTTTCACAGGCAGGGTGCCCACCTGGCTGCGAGGAAGCCTCCTGAGATGTGGTCCTGGCTTGTTTGAGGTGGGTGCAGAGCCCTTCTATCACCTCTTCGATGGTCAGGCACTCCTCCACAAGTTTGACTTCAAGGAGGGGCATGTCACCTATCACCGGAGGTATGTGGCTGTTCCCAGGCCAGATAAATCAATAACGAAGCGTTTGCTGTACTGTATGTGATGGGCACGGGCTCTACGGCCTGGGAGGTGCTGGTTATGTCAAATCCATGCTTTTATTGGAAGAGCTGTAATGGTGAGGTCACTAAAACCAGCTGAAGATAACCAAACTTTCTCACAGCTGGCAGAAATGCAGCTTTTTGAGCAGACTGCAAAACATCTGGAAAGAGAGGGCTGGATGCAGCTGCAGTCAGTGGCAGAATGAAATTGCTGTCTGGAAACCAGAAGTCGGTTTTAGTTAAAGCTGCAGAACTACCAGCTTTGAGGTGCTTGGTGAAGAATATTTAGGCAAAGCGCTGTGTTTGCCATCAGCTTCAGTTCTGCAGGAGCCATTCATTCCCAGTGCCATGGTGTGGGGTGGTTGTTGGACCTTACATGCTGCAAATGCACTGTGAAGCAGTGGCTTTCAGCGATCTCTTGAAGCTCATGGCCACAGTGTTCACATTTCAATTGCACAGCCCATTGCAGTTCCAGCTATACCTGTAACATGCCTTGTCCTCACCCTCCCAGGTTTGTCAGGAGTGATGCTTATGTGAGAGCAATGACTGAGAAAAGGATCGTGATAACAGAGTTTGGCACCTATGCTTACCCAGACCCGTGCAAGAACATCTTTTCCAGGTACCTCAGGGTCAGGGAGATGTTGCAGCAATGTCCTGTGGTGCTTCCACTTCCAGAAACCCCTGACTGCCTCTCTGTTTTCTGTGCTCAGGTTTTTCTCATACTTCAAAGGTGTGGAGGTCACTGATAATGCACTAGTTAATGTCTACCCCATTGGTGAAGATTACTATGCCTGTACTGAGACCAACTTCATAACCAGAATTAACCCAGAAACGTTAGAGACAGTTAAGCAGGTGGGTCTTTGGACTATGCTTCTGAATAAGAGGAGGGAAACTAAGATGAAAATGTTTAACAACAGCCTCTTACAACATGGCAAGAGCTAGGGTTTGGCAGGGACATGATGTAGAAATGAAGCCAGCTCTGAGGATTAATGAAAGCAGAGTTGGAATGAGTTCTTAAATGAACTCACTGCTGCTGCTCTGAGTAATATGTAATGAGAAGGTGATGGGATTCTGTGGTCCGTAGCCTCATGCTTGGGTTGGGGTTTTCAAACTGGAGTGAGGTTATAGCCTGGCCAAAGGTGACTGTGATGGTAGGGCTCCTGCCAGAGCTTCACTGCTGCCTTCAGTTACACCAGACCCAAGCTACGTTTGCCCTGTAAAACTCCAACAAAGGTAGAGTCTATGCTTTGGTTTTCTTTGCTGTGTTACTGATGTCCAGCCTGTGGAGCCTTTCTTTTTGGACCTCAGCATCCCAAACCTCTCCCTGTAACAGTGTGAATTGCTTGGCTTTGTTGCCATTCTTTTCACAATATGAATGGTGATCTGGGCTTAAAGAAGAAGTTCCCATATCTGAAACAAGGGCACATTGACTTCATGGAGCTGGCGACTTTCTCTCCCCTGCCAGGAAAGCTCCTGACTGTTGCACCTTGTTCCTCAGGTGGATCTCTGTAAATACGTGTCTGTGAATGGGGCAACAGCTCATCCCCACATCGAGAATGATGGGACCGTCTACAACATTGGGAATTGCTTTGGAAAAAACTTTGCTCTCGCTTATAACATCATACGGATCCCTCCTCTTCAGGCAGGTGTGTTCACCCCACCTCTCTGTGAATGGAGACAATCTTGTCCTAGCTATCACTTCTTTAGCCTTCAAATTAGCTTTGTCATCAAGTTACTTGTTTTAATCTTGCTTAGATTTTTATTTGCCTTTTGAAGTAACAGGAATGTTATATTTAACACACCTCAGTAGTTTCTAAATCATTGAATCATGGAACCCTTGAATAGTTTGTGTTGGAAGGGACCTTAAAGCTCCTCCAGCTCCAACCCCTGCCATGGGCAGGGACCCCTTCCACTGGAGCAGCTTGCTCCAAGCCCCTGTGTCCAACCTGGCCTTGAACACTACCAGGGATGGGGCAGCCACAGCTTCTCTGGGCACCCTGTGCCAGCGCCTCAGCACCCTCACAGGGAACAGCTTCTGCCCAAGAGCTTGTCTCAATCTCCCCTCTGGCAGGTTCAAGCCATTCCTCCTTGTCCTATCACTACCTGCTCCTCCCATGAACTTCCTTGCTGGTTAAACACTATAAATACTAAGTAGGTGAATCCCCCATAACCCTTTGTCTGTCTTGTTCCAGACAAGGAAGACCCAATAAACAAGTCAGAGGTGGTGGTGCAGTTCCCTTGCAGTGAGAGGTTCAAGCCCTCCTACGTTCACAGGTAACATGTCCCAGGGTCAGCACGAGCTCCTACGTGGTTTTGTCCAAACGAACTCCAGTGAGCTTAATGTGCTCCCTGTGCATTTCCAAACAGCTTTGGACTGACAGAAAACTACATAGTGTTTGTTGAAACACCAGTAAAAATCAACCTTTTCAAGTTCCTCTCCTCATGGAGCCTTTGGGGAACCAACTACATGGACTGCTTCGAGTCCAACGAGACCATGGGGGTAAGCAGCACGTTGTACCTAACTGGCTGTCCTGTGCAGCCAGCTCTGCACTGGGAGGTCCATTGTGTTGGTTTCACCAGTCTGTTCTGAGGCAAACTCAAGCTGCTGCTTGTTCTTCAGGTCTGGCTTCATGTGGCAGAGAAAAAGAAAGGCAGGCTCCTGAACATCAAATACCGCACCTCGGCCTTCAACCTCTTCCATCACATCAACACCTATGAAGATAATGGATTTCTGATTGTGGACCTCTGTACCTGGAAGGGGTGAGTCTTGGTGGTGCTGAGGGTCCCTGTGGCATCACCCCCACCCCTGCATGAGCGGGAGGGGGGCCAGCAAAGCCCCACCATCGACACCAGTCTCTGCGAGGGTACATCTCCTTTGGAATCACCTCTGGAACTTGCATTGACTCTGCATAGAACCATAGAATCCTGGAATTGTTTGGGTTGGAAGGGACCTGAAAGCTCATCTAAGCTTACCATTGTAGCACCCTGTGGGTTTAGAGATCTGCAAGGACACTGTCCTGGACAGCTGGATAAGCTGCAATGCTCTGATCTCACAGTCTTGTGGAGGTTTGGGCACAGGCCCTAGGTGTGGATCTTGCCTGAAAGGTTTTGATGGAAAACTGCATGCTAACAGAGCAGTTCTCTGCTAACAGAGGTTCCAGGTTCTCTTGGCTGCTGAAGAGAAAAAGCACCTTCAGCTTGCTGAAGAACATGGATCCTGCACTGGGGCTGGGAACATGGAGGGGGGGGTTCAGGAAACAGCCCTATGGCTGTTCCAAAAAACAGATGGCAAATGAATTTTAGGAAGAAAACAACTGCACTTGACACCCCGACACTTCCAAATCCCATCTCGGGTCTGTCTGTAATGCTGTTTGCCTGCAGGTTTGAGTTTGTCTACAACTACCTCTACTTGGCCAACTTACGGGCCAACTGGGATGAAGTGAAGCGCCAGGCGGAGAAAGCCCCGCAGCCCGAGGCGCGCAGATACGTCCTGCCCCTCACCTTTGACAAGGTACCGAGGTCTGCACTGTTCCCTGCAGGGCTGATGGCTGAGCATCGCTGGTGCTATGCATGACCCTATTAATCCAAACTGAACCTTTTAATGGCGAGGGGGAGCTTAAAGTGTGGGTCTTAGAGAACCTGTCTGTTTTCTTTAGCTGCTTAATGTTATTCTATTTCCCATATGTTACTGTTCAAAGCTGAGACTCTGGAGCAGCAGTTAATCCTGGTGGATTAACTAGTGGAAGGTGTCTCTGCCCAGGGCATGGGGTTGGAACTGGATGAGGTTCAAGGTCCCTTCCACCCTGAAGCACTCTAGGATTCTGTGGAATGGAAGAGGCAGATACTCCTAAACTCATTGCCATTCTGCAGCTTGATAAGGCTCTCCTGCATGCTGCTGCCTTCGCCCTTCAGCACAGCTTGCAGCGCATCTATGCAAATGGAGTAAGAAATTGGTTTCTTCATTATTTCTCTTGGGTGTTTTCCTTTCTCCCAGGCCAACACTGGTAAGAACCTGGTCACCCTGCCCTACACCACAGCTACAGCCACCTTGCGCAGCGATGACACCATCTGGCTGGAGCCAGAAGTCATTTTCTCAGGGCCACGCCATGGTATGACAATGACCCTGAAGCAACAACACCAGTACCTCCTGCACCCCACATCCCACTGATCCCCATGCATAAATATGTATTCTGTTTTATTGCAGCCTTTGAATTTCCACAGATCAATTACAAGAAGTACTGTGGGAAACCTTACACATACGCATATGGGCTGGGCCTGAACCACTTTGTCCCAGACAAGGTAACTGTCATTGCCTGGGTGAGGCACATCCTTTCAATGAGTTTTTGGTTTAAGGACAAGAAAGTGTATTTCTGAGATGTGGACTTTGGTTTTCCTTCCTTTAGCTTTGCAAGCTGAACGTTAAAACCAAGGAGACCTGGGTGTGGCAGGAACCAGATTCGTACCCATCAGAGCCCATCTTCGTTTCCCATCCGGATGCGCTGGAGGAAGATGATGGTAAGATTGATGTTTTGGTCAGTGATACTGTGGATTGGAAACCCAATTATTCCCTCAATTCCTCACCTCCAAACAGGATTATGGGTCTTGATTCCACTGAATTTAAGAGCAAACTCTCACTGGCTGATAAAGAACCAGATTTTGTATTATCTGTTCCCAGTTCAAGAAAGTGCCTGTGCAAGGCATTAAGTCCCACTAAAGTCAAAAGGTGTTGAGCTTGTTCTTAACAGTTTTCTTTAACTGAAGCAGACAATGTGCATTTTGGGAATAACTTTAAGTCTCTTTTATTTCCTTGGACTTAATCCCCTGCAGAAGCACTCCCTGAAAGCTGAGGTAACAGTAAGCTCCATGCTTGCATTTCTCTCATCTTCCCCAGTTCGATGCTTTCACAGATGATAGGGTAGGGTTGTTCCTGTGTTCTGAATGGCTGATCCAGAGAGCACAAAAATAACCAACCTCAGGGCTAAACTGTTCCATCCATTCCACACAGGAACACCAGGAGCCAAAACTGGCATCTTGTCATGTTAAGCTTCAACAGAATTATGAAGTAATTCATAACTGAATTGATAATGTGGAAAAATACTAATCCCATCCCTTTGTGTTGGAATGGGCATTAAAGCTCCTCCAGCTCCAACCCCTGCCATGGGCAGGGACCCCTTCCACTAGAGCAGCTTGCTCCAAGCCCCTGTGTCCAACCTGGCCTTGAGCACTGCCAGGGATGGGGCAGCCACAGCTTCTCTGGGCACCCTGTGCCAGCGCCTCAGCACCCTCACAGTGAGGAGACACACCAAGCACACCAGGACAGCATCCTGTTTTTCTTCCCTAGGGGTAGTGCTGAGCATTGTGATCAGCCCGGGCGTGGGACCCAAGCCTGCCTACCTCCTGATCCTGAGCGCCAAGGACATGAGCGAGGTGGCCAGGGCAGAGGTGGAGATGAACATTCCCGTGACTTTCCATGGGATGTTTAAGAGAGCCTGACTGCTGCCTGCGACACGTCACATCTGGCTTCTTCCAGCTCTGGAAAGGTGCCCCCTCTGTTTATAAGTCTTTTGGTAACATTGTGTAGAAGAGCCTCTGTGCTTTGAGGAAATGGTAATTTTTAGCCTATACTGAAGCCTTATGGATTTAAATCCCCTCCTGGCCACTCCTGTAGTATCCTCAGAGCAATCTGAGTGGAGCCTTTCCATGCTGCTTTGGAAACGTGAGCCAGCAGGCCCGAGGGTGTGTGGCAGCAGCATTTTGTCCTTCACTAGTGCACATGCTGCTCTATGTGTTTGCTCTTTGCCATTTCTTTTGTCAAAGTGCAGCTTCTAGAGTTCTGGATTTGAGGCTGAAACATGGCTATGAAAACACTCATATCACTTGGGATGAATTTGCTTCCTCAGAGTGTTACAGCCCCTCAGCTGAATCCTTCCTTTCACAAGATAAATTTTCAGCTGATGTAGTAAGAGGCTGTGGTTCCAAACACAGATTTATTGCTGATGGAGTTAAAATCCAGGATTCTTGTTTGGCTGCTGTGGTTTAATGTTTTTATTAATGGTATCAAAGAATTAGAAAATCACTTATTAAAGATTTCTAGTATATGGTGCAACTTCAGAAGGCTGATTTGACTGCGGCTGTAGTTACATCCTGATGACAGGATCCTGACACTGAGACACGACCTGGTACTTCTGCTGTTCCGTGATCTTCAAACACTGTGCAATCACCTGATTAAAACCAGAAAGTAATAGGAGCAATGAGGCTCTGAACTAAGAAATGAGTAAATCCTCCTCGTCCTGCACTCAGGCAGTAAAGCATTTGTTCTTATTTTTTGCACAACAGTGAATGAGCAGTTGTTGGCTGCAGTATCAGGGGCAATAGCTGTCAGTGTGAAGTACCCCTGGGGCAAGGGAAATGTAAAGAACAAAATGGCCTCTGGATCCCAAACTTCATGCATTGCATGCAGACATAGCCCAGCCCTTTTATAAAGTCGTTGTGGTGAATTGCTGTAAAACTCCAATGGAAGTAAGTACTGTGATAATCCATTTCTGGTATTACACAGCTCTGCTCCTAGCCTGCCAGTCACACATTGGAAACTGGAGCATTCTGCTCTTCCACATCCATCCTTTTTTAGGAAGTCATCTTTCATGTGTTATGACAACAGGGACTCAACCTACACAACTGCTTTTGGCCTTTAAACACAAGATCATTCTCCCTATTTCACTGCTGCTGCTCCACACACAGCCTTTGAAAAGCCTATGTACAAAACAGCACAATGAGGATCTCAATGGGCACATGGTGTCACTTCAGAGAAAGCTAAACAGGAATTCCACCTATTGGCACAAACTCTGGCATAAAGGAGCAAAACAATAGTGTAAGAACAGCCACGCATGCAAACAGGAGTTGTGTGCTGGTGAAAATTAACATGAGAGTGATTGATTCATTTCAACTGTCATGATGTTCTTTCCATGTGCAGCTCCTAGAGAGGCTGTAGTATTAGAAAATACTACTTGGTGCTCTCCCTTCATCAAAGTTCCCATAAACTCCACAGAAAACACTTCTACGTGCTACCATAACTACGTACACAATTAGAAGGATTAGTTGATAGCTCTCTGTCTTTAAACAAGCTGCAGAAGTGTAAAGAGCATTTAATAAAGAATCTAACAAGGAAAAAGCAAAGACCAAAGGTGGTGGCTTTCAGGAACAATCCAATGGGATGGAAGTTTGTCTTAAAAGAATCAATAAAATCAACTTAAAAGAATCAATAAAAGGCAAGGGGGCCTCCCAAATGTAGCAGCAAATTAGAAGCAGGAAGAGGAAGTGGCAAAAAAAAGTGTCTTATGTCAAAAGAGCTGAACCTCAAAGAGTGAGGATACAGCCATGATGCAAGATTGAAAAGAAAGGATTTGGATACCATTTGATTCTGTAAAGTCAACGGAGAGGTTCAGTGAGGAAATGCTATCAGAATTCAGCAGAAACGTTTAAGATAGGATACTGGGGAAGAGAAAAGATGCTAAAGCTGAAATTCCACAGAAAATGGAGTGAGAAATGGGAGAGCTGGTTCTGGGACTCTGCATACCACTGGCATTGAGCGAGTCACAGGCATTTGCCTCAAGATCCTTTGGAGACCTGAGAATGAAACATTCTAAGATGAGAAAACCCACCTTTCTGGTGTTTTGAGGTAGAATTATGCCGTCATCCCAGAGTCTGGCAGAGGAGTGAAATGCACTGCTTTCTTCCTGTAGCCTGGAGAGGGCACAGTATTAAGCTTAAAAGCACAACAATGTATTGAAAACTGTTGTGCCACTGAAACAAAATCATAGATGGAAAAGGCGTATGTTTAAATCTCAAGTGAATATGCAGACCTACGGTTAAAATTCATTAGACTCCACTAAATAACATATGACAGATCTGATCATTCTGCAGTACAGACCATCCTCTGCATACAGATAGTCACCACTGTTCAATACACAGCAGACTATCTTCATCTGGGGTTGTATGGGAGTTTTTAGGTAAGCGTTTGTGTTTCCTTGAGAAGATCTTAAGAGGAGTCATAGAATTACATGGAAAAGTAAACTATTCAGTAGGTTGAGGTTTGCTTTATTTGTCTGGGGTGTGTTGAGCTGTAAGATGAACAAACTTGATTCACAATTTAACCAGCTCAGCCCTGCAGGAGTTTCTGTTTCATATCCTTACTTTTCTTTCAGCTCTTTCAGCTCTGCTTCCTCCCCTCTGTGGTCACTGTCCCCAGCTTGTGAGACTGGGGAGAGTTGTCTTGAATCCACAAGAGCAACCCTTGCATTAGGCCACAAGAGCAAGAAGTTTGGGCTGAACGATCTCCCACACTACAAAAAGAAAGAGCAGAGAAGAAACTCCTTGAAATGAATCACAAGAAGATGGGTGTGGGATGGTAGAACCATTCTGCCTTGACCTTTATAGTGCAGTTTAATTTGTAACAGATTAATGATACAGCTCCATTGCCATCAGAACTACAGCTCCTCTATCAGTACAGACACCCTGTAGCACCATCACCATCCCCACTGCCCCCAGTAATGCTATGTTATCTTTTCATTTTTCTCCAAGCACTTAAATGTTTAATTCAGAGCAAAGAACCCTATGGTACCCAGGAGCAGGGTGAACAGCACACACACAAGATGTGTTCCTTGATCCATGGAAATGTGCTGAGGAAAAGGCAGGTTTGGCCTCAAGAAGGGATGCTTTCAGGTCATGTGATTTTCAGCCCTGGCTCTATGCTTTTAGATGCAGACCAAGTTTTCAGTAACAGGAGCTTGAGATGCATGTTTTACTCTAAAAGCAGTTAAAAGAATGGACTGAGTTAAATGTCTATAACAACAGCCAACAGTGGTTTAACAGGAAGCACTGTGAGATCATGGTATAGTGTGAAAAGCCTCTTGCCAGGCCCATCAGATTTATACCCCTCCTACCATAACGTAACTCTCGCTCCCGAAACAGCCACCGACTACAATGGTTATTTTGGGAACAGCAGCACAAGCAACAGCAGCCATCATGGAGGCCTGGGCTTTCAATCTGCTGGCGTGAGCCTCGGCCTGGAAGGCAAACAAAGATTTTAGGTCCTTTCAATCTTTCTTCCAGATTCCCTCTGCTCCCACCAGCTCTGTATTCCCAAACCATTGATTTCTTTACAATTCTCCCTCTCTGCTGTGCTCTGGGGAGACCCCCCCTGCAGCCCTGATCCAGCTCTGGGGCAGCAGCACAAGAGGGACGTGGAGCTGTTGGAGCGAGTGCAGAGGAGGCCATGGAGATGCTGCGAGGGCTGGAGCAGCTCTGCTCTGGAGCCAGGCTGAGAGAGCTGGGCTGGGGCAGCCTGGAGAAGAGAAGGCTCCTGAAGGGGAGACCTTAGAGCAGCTCCAGTGCCTAAAGGGGCTGCAGGAAAGCTGGAGAGGGGCTTGGGACAAGGGCCTGTAGGGACAGGCCAAGGGGAATGGCTTGAACCTGCCCGAGGGGAGACTGAGCTGAGCTCTTAGGCAGAAGCTCTTCCCTGTGAGGGTGCTGAGGCGCTGGCACAGGGTGCCCAGAGGAGCTGTGGCTGCCCCATCCCTGGCAGTGCTCAAGGCCAAAATCATGCTGTGTTTTAGTGCCTCGCTTTTCTAAAACATATTCAAAGCACATTGCAGTGAGCATCCCATACCTGTGAGATGCGTGTTGGCTCTCCTGCCTGTGGAGCTGTGTTCTGGAAGAAGAGGATGGGAATGCTCCACTAGCTGCACAGCTGCACAGAGTGGCTACCCTTGAGAGAAGCATCATAAGACAGCTCACCGTTGCTGGCCACTATCCCCACCAAGTGCCTACAAAGCAAGACTCAAGAACGTTTTTACTTCTGAACTCTAGAAATCACGGCACTGTAGCTTGTAACATTCTGAAGGATGGAAACATAAATACCTGTACACACACACACAGATCTATCATTTACAGAAGTTCAGCATGGCAAAGGATGCAGGTGCATGTGTCATTTCATTCAAGGACCCACACACACCTAAAAAGAAGCCTTACAGCATTCCTGATACATAAAGTATGAAAGCATTAGAAGGGACTAATACCCAGAGAGCAGGTAAAGCTATAGATGGCCTTATTAGAGTCAGAAAGGTGACATTACTGCAAGGTAATGTACAAGGTTCCTGGACTCTGAGCTCTCTTTAATTCCTGTATCACAGAACAAAGCAGTCAACTTGAAAAGTTTATGCTTTCAACCCAAAGAATCTCAAAAACTGTATTTTACTATCATTTTTTCCCCCTAATATGATTTGACCAGAATGTTACATGCTTCGTCAATGTGTTAATAATGCAGTCTGATCTGAATTACACAAGGTTTTGTTGCATCTTATCCCATCTCCATCACATGGGGGAAGGGATGAGAGCTTTGAGTTCAGTTTGAAAAGGAACACTTTTAAAAGATGCTGTTTCTGATTTCCTAAGGAATCTGCTGAGACTTCAGTGTTGCAACTGTCTGGCTGGTAGTTCCTGTGAACAAATAACTCATATCACCAGGTTATGAAAACCATTCATTTGTCATCACTCCCTGCTGCTATTGGCCTGGGACATGGTGAATTCAGAGCTCAGAGACAGAAATCAGCTTATTTTATTACCAATCTTTGACTGACTCAGAACTTCATAAACACTGGTGCTGGATCACTGTAAAAACTGATGATGATGTGAAAGCTATTAGACAAGTAGAGAGGAGACTGAGCTGAGCTCTTAGGCAGAAGCTCTTCCCTGTGAGGGTGCTGAGGCGCTGGCACAGGGTGCCCAGAGAAGCTGTGGCTGCCCCATCCCTGGCAGTGCTCAAGGCCAGGTTGGACACAGGGGCTTGGAGCAAGCTGCTCCAGTGGAAGGGGTCCCTGCCCGGGGCAGGGGTTAGAACTGAATAAGCTTTAAAGTCTTTTCCAACCCAAACCAGTCTGGGATGTTGCATCCATTTAGGATAAAAATAGCAGGTTTTTAAAGCTAAGTATGCTGGATTCTCTACTATTCCTGAGAATTATTTCACATACTGAGAGTGAAGTCTGGCTCCTCCCAGGTCCTCGGGAGAGACATATCCTCCTGTAGCTGCTTTTAGCAGAGGTGGGCCAGCAAGCAATAATGTACCAACTTTGTCTATAGTCACAGCTGCTTCTGCCATGGTTGGGATGTAGGCACCTCCAGGCACACAGGAGCCACACAGCACTGCCACCTGAAGGACACAGAAACCAAACAAATCAAGATGCTGGGCAGGGGAGAACGGAAAGGCAAAACCATTAACGCTGATTTCAGAGGCTAAATCACAGCTTGGGGAGCAATGAACTAGAGATATAAATACCAGCATGAACAGCCATGCTGGTTCTGAGAGAGCTCAGTGCTTACTCTGAAATAACCCAGTGGTTTGATGCTTTTCCATCACAGTCAGTAAACAGACGATCACACATAGCATCATAGAATCCCAGGCTGGTTTGGGTTGAAAGGGACCTTAAAGCTGATTCAGTTCCAACCCCTGCCACGGGCAGGGACCCCTTCCACTGGAGCAGCTTGCTCCAAGCCCCTGTGTCCAACCTGGCCTTGAGCACTGCCAGGGATGGGGCAGCCACAGCTCCTCTGGAAGTGCATCCTTAGGGATGAAGTACTCAGTTATGTGAATTTGAGTCTCCCTCCCCACGCTTCATTTGAGCCTCCCGCAGGCAGGAAGGGGGAGCTTCAGGGATCTTCTGCGTGTTTGAGAGTTGTTCCTAGAATCTGTACTGGAACAAACCCGTTTCAGGGCTCTGTTGGTGCATCCACGTGTCCTGCACGTCCTTGTGCTCCGGGTGACACCGTACCTGAGGGATTCTCATGGCAGACATCATCGCTTCATTGCAGCAAACTCTGCCACCGTGTGACTTGTCAGGAAACAGCTCTGCCTGTCCCTGCACACAGAAACCAGAGTGAGTTCCATGATCAGCTCCAAAAGCCAACACTTCCTCCTCCTTATTCCTTCACAAACGCCTTGTAACCGACTCTGGGAAGGTCAGCACCAACAATCACACCCGACGCTTCCATATCCACCATTGCCTACAGTATTTATTCCCCTCAGACACATAAATGCCCGGGTGGTTTGAAAGCAGAGGTCAGTTTTGCCTTTTTTGGTGAAACCCATTCATTCTACGCAAACTGGGACTGCAAACGTGGGGAAGGGGAAGCTCAGGTTCATCCTTTCTCTATCTGTGACATGACTTCAGCAGTTTCCCTTTTTACCTAGTTTATGATACAATCCCTTAAGTCAGGTCAGAGCTTTTTCTGTGTTCACTTTCAGTGTGAAGAGGGGAAAACTGGTCTCTGTGATAACGTGACCTCTGTACACTGGAAGTAACCTGGGCCAATTCTCCTTTACAGTAAGAATGTAAACCCCTGCATTTTTAAGGGCCATGGAGGTCACTGCATCATTATCACAGACAGTGCAATACAATACAGAGCAACGTTATAGACTCTGAGGTTGAAAATAGCAGCCTCCGACCATGTAGTAGTTTACTAAAGACACCAAAGCATCCCAGCACACTGAGGAGGACCCACGCTCGGTCAGCACTTTGTCCCCCCACTGACATCCAAGCTCCTAAACTTTGACTGGAAGCTGGGTGCAGATCAGCCAAAGGGCTCACCTCTGGTACAGACCTTCCAGTTACATCCTGGAGTTTCACTTGTGGGTGGAACTCCAGGGAGGTGTGACAGAAAGTCAGCAGGGCAAGGAAACACAATGGAAATGTGAGTTTATTCCTAAAGATGGCTGTGATTTAGATGAACATGGGTGTTTTCTCCCATGAAGTGGTCCCAGTGTTACCTGCAGGGGCAGGAATGCTCCCCCGCTGTCAGCCAGGTACACGGATACCAGCCTGTTCTGCATGGCTATTTCCTGAGCTCTTAGCTGTCTCTTCACCCCAACGGGGTAAATGGTTCCTCCTTTCCCAGTTGCATCGTTTGCCATGAGGACACACCAGGCCCCACAGATTTTGCCAATTCCTGTAAGTGCATTGACAGACAGACACTCACCAGGACTCTCCAAATACCCCAGATGAACCAAGGGGGCAAGTTCCAGCTAGGATGCTCTCTTGGTAATACTGTGTCAAGGAGCTGCAAATCAAGCTGCAAATACCACAGAGGGCAGAAATCCTTTGGAACAGCGAGCTAAAGGCAGAGGCGCTTAAAAAGGGGATTTAAACGACAGAAAACAGGTGTTGAAGTCAACTCACTCCTGGTGACAATACATGAGAAGAAAAGGTTGACTTCCATCCCTTGAGATAACAGGGAAGGCAACTCAAATTACCCATATAAAGCTAAAAACCATAGCGATCTGTGACAAGAGAGGATTTCGTACTCTGCCCTTTTAGTTACTTTTTAAACTGGACCCCCTCTTCAAAATGCAATGAAAAGGCTTGTCTATGGTATGAAAAATGATACCAAATAAACTGTCTCACAGTGACTTGGTTCCCTTCCCTCTAACAGACAGCAGCTTACCTGACACATCATCCTAGGTTTTTTGAGGCAAAAGCCAGTAACTGGGAAGTACAATAAATCACCGAATCGAGAAGAAATGAACAACCTTTTTTCTTTAAAGGCTTCTCCCAGATTTCCCAGCAAAAATCACAGAAGAATAATAGAGCTGAACTTTTCCCTGTTGGGATCTGCAACTTGCTAGAACTGATGCTCATTTTCCTAGGAAAGCATGTTCTTAAGATATTAATATTTCCATAAAACTTACGATGTGCATCCTTCTTCCTTTCCCAGCCAGAGCAAACACTTTACCTTCCATGAGCAAGGCTGGTTACCCTGGGAAGGTGTACAGCACATACAAACACAACTGATGTACCCTGCCTGCTACCACCTACTCATTGCTGCACCCAAACAGCATCTCTCAAACTGTATTAAGGATAATGTTGCTTCAAAACCCTTTTTCCTTCCGGGCTGCATCCCCACAGGGCTGCTCAAAACAACCCCTGAACCCAAACCCATCTTTAGCTGTAACATGGGTCATGTTTAAAGGTGATTTCCCATCTGGATGACAGTCACTGCCCTTACCGGTGAGGCACCCAGCCACAGGGACATCCCCATAGGGCATGTTGAGCCCTGCCAGTGGAGACAGCTCCAGGAAAGACTCATGGTCAAGCAGCAGCTTCAGGCGCTCCCGAGCAAACAGCCGCTTGTTCCTCTGGCTGTGATGCCCGACGGCCTCGTCTCCCCCTCCTTTCCTGACCAGCTCCAGTACCTCCGAATATCTGGTTTGAGTTTCCATTGATCAAAACCACTATTACTCACAAGTGACACTTCAGCAGATTGAACTGCACTTAAACGTACTGCAGTCCCCATGTAAACGGGGTGAGGGTGGAGAGGAAGTCACGTCTCTGCATTATTGTTTCTTACAAAGTCTAATAAAAAGCAAAGCCATGTAATTTAAAGCAAGCATTTAAGTTTTGTTATTCAAAACCTAACAACGACAAAACCAGAGTGAAATAATACAAGTATTCTATCTGCAGTTTATGTTCCTAGCTAGCAGATGTTATTAAATCCCAGTTCTGCACTGGGTGTTGCCCATATACACCCAGCAGAGTATTTCACAGTGTATGATCTCTGCCAGCAACCCCACAAGCAGAACACTGACAGAGGCTGATCATCAGTGACCATAGCTGACTTTGAGAGGTACTACAACAACGTCAGCCTCTATCTACACTTGCAGCTATCCATTAGGCTCTTACAGTTTGATAGTCTAATTCAGCATGGAGCTTTACCATGTTGCAACTACTCTAGGGATGGATGCGCTCAGGGGCTGCCTCCTTCAGTCCCCCTCAACAAGTTTGTCCAACTAAAATCAGTGACTGGTAAGTAGAATAAATCACTAAATCCAGAGGAACAAGTGGAATAAATCAGTAAATCTAGAAGAAATGCACACTCAACAGCATGGAAAATGCACTTCCAAAGCAGTGAACACTGCAGTGCCACTGCAGCCATGGGGAGGGGAAGTAATTACCCCATATTGCCAGGGCAGCACCACGTTCAGATGAAGAACTGAATAAACTGCAGAGAAATGCGGTATCTTGACTAGGTTTGATCCTCAATAAACCAGGTTCTTCATTTATTTCCAATAGAGCATTTTCCACCCAGATGAATCATCTCGAACCAAACCCACTGCTGACCTAGCCCCTTACGCCGCGCTCTGTGCGGGACTCCCGTATCTTACTGGGGCTTCCTGCGGCCAGGAGATGGGAACACCTCCGGAGCATCCTCAGCACTGCTGCAGCTGCCACCGCAGGAGGGCACAGTGCGCTCCGCTTCCAGCTCCTCTGAACCCCTCCGAGCAAAGGCGGCCGCGTCCGTACCTTCGAGGAGCAGCGCACAAAATGCGCTCTGCTGCTTTCATCGCTGCATCGCGACCCAGTGCGGCACCAGCCACCGCTGCTGGGGGGGAGCTGGGAGCTCCGAGTCACCCTTTGTGCCTTCGCGTTCAGTCAAACGCAAAAGGGCTCTTCCGAAGGTCTAGAAACCATTTTCTAGGTCTAGGAACTGTTTTAATGCAGCCCACGCACAGATTTGGGCATATTTCAGCTCCTCTTTTAGGGGGGTTGAAGTTTTTAAGCCCTGTTCGTGGTAAATTCACTTTGCAGAGAAACTGCCTGAAAAAAAGAGCAGCCAAGGAGCTGGGTTAAGCTCCAAAACGGTAAAAATCCCATCCCCAGATTTATTGTTATTAGGGGGTTTTTAACCTCTGGGCTTCTCAATTGGGATTCCAGGGGTGGAAGCCCCATCCCTGGCAGGGTTGCACGGGGCTTGGAGCAAGCTGCTCTAGTGGAAGCTGTCCCTGCCTGTGGCAGCGGGGTGGAACTGGATGGGCTTTAAGGTCCCTTTCAACCCAAACCATTCCATGGTCTGTGCTTCTTCCTATGTTAAGCAGTTCCTAGAAGTGCCCATAAGTACCTCTCACATCACCTCACAAGCAGCAGCAGTTTTAAACCACCCCAAACCCAGCTTAATACCTTTTAACAACAGCCTCGCCGTTCCTCAGGTTGTCTTTCCCATTAAAGTCATCATGAACATTTTAACATTAATCTGATTTTCCTTTTCCTCCCGTACCTCATCCTGTCCCTGGGCTGCTTCAGTCAGTCAGCTACTGTTAGTCATGGCATCGCCTGCTAGACATTACTGTGTGCTGCCTTTCAGGGCCTTCATCAAAAGGCATTCCTGCCAGAGGGCTCTCTATCTGCTCCTATGCAGAAGGCTTCCCAGTGATAACTAAGCAATGACTGACACGGTTGTGGTGTAAGGATCCGGCACAGGCAGGAGACAGGGTCTGCAGGTAAGAAGTTGTGTGTTCCCAAAGAGCAGCTCCTGTCCTGAGCCCTGCGGTGCGGAGACGAAGCTGTGCTGAGCCCCGAGAGCTCAGGGAGGGGCTCTCTCAGGGCAGATGCAGTGCTGAGGAGCATCACAGGTACCTCAAAGGTAAAACAGCCACAGAGCGTCATGCTCTATGTGGGGTGCGGGGTGTCCACAGGTACCCCAACACCAGAGGGACGTGGAGCTGTTGGAGCGAGTGCAGAGGAGGCCATGGAGATGCTGCGAGGGCTGGAGCAGCTCTGCTCTGGAGCCAGGCTGAGAGAGCTGGGCTGGGGCAGCCTGGAGAAGAGAAGGCTCCTGAAGGGGAGACCTGAGAGCAGCTCCAGTGCCTAAAGGGGCTGCAGGAAAGCTGGAGAGGGGCTTGGGACAAGGGCCTGTAGGGACAGGCCAAGGGGAATGGCTTGAACCTGCCCGAGGGGAGACTGAGCTGAGCTCTTAGGCAGAAGCTCTTCCCTGTGAGGGTGCTGAGGCGCTGGCACAGGGTGCCCAGAGAAGCTGTGGCTTCCATGGTGTAACCAGAGCTTCCTTCTCCCAGCAGTCTGAGAAGCTCCTAAAGAGCTGAGGGGGAGCGACAGAAAACACTTTGCAGCTCCCTACAGAGCTTTGGGGTTTCCTATGGGGTTGTATGTGAATTGTTGTGCTCTCTGCCTGCAGGGGGTAACGGGCAAGGAGAGAGCATCCAGGCAAAGCAGAATCCGTCTGAGGAGGTCTGAACTTCAAAGAGGTGTTGATGGTGATGGAAGTGCCGGGTGCTCAGCTTGCTGAAGGAGGAATTGCTGACGCAAAGGCTTGAGTATGCATTTAAAGTGAGATTTGGGCTTCCTGTTGTTTCTCTTTGCTGGTGGGTTTGTTTTAAACAGACCCATATTATCATTTCCCTGGATTCACACGATTTTTAGTGCTTTGTTCTTTGGGTGTATGAGGGGCGCTACTGTTCAGTTCTAATCCCCAGGCTCATTTCATTTCCTATAATGAACTGTTAGGCCTTCATTAGATACATTATCCCTACAATGCTGCTGTTGCATAGCAGTTTCCTTTACGTCATCTTCCTTTGCAGGCCGTGTATTGGCTTATATCGTGGTGGGCTTGGCAGTGCTGGGTTACTACCTGGGCTTGATGATCTTTTCTAGACAATTCTATGGTTCTGTATGATTTTACAGATTTCCAGTCGATAGAATCTGTGTTCACAGTCACAAGATGCTCTCTGTGATGGATCCAGGCTGCTTTCACTCAGGCTTAAAAGGGGATTAAGCGTTCTCATGGAATCTGAATGCTGCTTGCTGAGAATAGAGGAAAAAGAAACACTCTTCAGTGCACTGCAGCCTGCACATGTATCCCAGGGAATGTTCATCACCAAGAGGAGGCCCCAGTCACTGGGGTTTTGTACTGGGAGGCAGCCTGGTATAAATAACAAATCCTGTAATTAGGAGCCAGGAGGTTCTAATTGACTTATGCCAGTCCAGAGCGGAAATCCAGCCTTTCTCTCTGGTCATGGCACGGAGCATCCTTTGTGTAATGAGCACTGAGGGGAAATCGAGTGAGGTGGGGAGAAAATAGCTCTTGTGAATGGATGCAGCCTCGGGTGAGTGTTTGAAGTTGTTATTTTCAGTGCTTATTTTAGCAGCTTTCGAGCTGAGGGTTTAGAGCACAGGGAGCAGCCGTTAGGAGAGCTGCTAATGTGGTTGCTGGCCTTACGGTGAGCTGCAGCCCCGCCAGCAGGGGTGAGATGTGCCATTTAAAGCAGCACCAAAGCCCTCAGTGGAGTTTTGGCTCAACTTTATTTAGCAGCTTGCTGGAGTGCACCGGATGCTGGGGGAAACCAGAACACACTCTCCGGGATGTCAGACCAAAGGCAGGCGGGTTCCCACAGAGCCCTCCCCTTCAGGTACCTCTGTTCCTTACTTCGGCTCTGTTCTTTAATACCCAGGAGCTGTTGGTGGCTCCTGACCATTGTGGCCTGGAAATTTGTCCACGTTAAAGCAGGTTTTGGTTGTTGGCTTAGAAGTGTCAAGAGGCTCACACAGGCCCAGAGCACTTCTCAGGGCTTGCATCATCCTAAACCAGATCAGATCGATTCAAAATGGGGCCTATAGGGATGCTGGGGAGGGACTCTTCATTAGGGACTGTAGTGACAGGACAAGGGGTAATGGGTTCAAACTGAAACAGGGGAAGTTTAGATTGGATCTAAGGAGGAAATTCTTTCCTGTGAGGGTGGTGAGGCACTGGAATGGGTTGCACAGGGAGGCTGTGAATGCTTCACCCCTGGCAGTGTTCAAGGCCAGGTTGGACAGAGCCTTGGGTGAGATGGTTTAGTGTGAGGTGTTCCTGCCCATGGCAGGGGGGTTAGAACTTGATGATCTTAAGGTCCTTTCCAACCCAAACTATTCTATGACTCTAAATTGGACAAAACAGTTGTTTCCTTTGCCCACGTGATGTTATTTGCCTTCTACCAAAGGAGCAGCAGGGCCCTGGCAGGTACACTGAGCAGTGTCTGGAATTGGTGCAAAGAAGATGATTTTAGTTGGTAGAACACAAGGAGTTAAAGGAGCTGCTCTGAAGATGTGAGAATGAATGTGGGAGGAGCTGGGAGCCAGGTCCTCAGCTAATGTAAGTAAATGTAAGTCCAGCTAAGGGTGTATCAGATGAAAGGCTGTCTCTGTACTATTTAGCTTCTTATTTTGGATGCTCTGAGGTTTTATGAATCCCCACATAAAGAGGTGTGGAGGGACGGATATGCCTTACAAACTGGGCAAATAGTCAAGGATGATCTGTTGAGTTATGGAAGTTTTCTTCACGTCGGTTCATTGCAGCTCTATGAGGCAGCAGCTGTACCACACCTATAAAAATACACATCAGCATCAAACCCTTACCCACAGGTATTTATCACCCAACTAAACACGGGATCAC